CGACGACGATGACAACTACTATTCCTTCAACTGTTACTGCGTTACTACTAACAACAGCTGCTACTACTGCTACTGCTACTGCTACTGCTACTACTACTGCTACTGCTACTACTGCTACTACTGCTGCTGCTGATACTACCACAACTACCTACCTACTACTAGTACTAGTACTAGTACTAGTACTAGTACTACTACTACTACTACTACTCCTACTCCTACTCCTACTCCTACTCCTACTCCTACTCCGACAACGGTGGCAAGCCCAAAACACCAAACACAGTTGTGGCTGGCAACCTGCTCTGTGCCTGCCTTGCGCCTGCCGCGCCTACCCTGTGCCTGCCCTGTTCCTGCCCTTGGCCCGTGCCTTCCCCATTTGGGGGGCGGGGGGGGCTGGGCGGGCGATCTGGGCCACCGGCCCGACCTAACTTGCGCGGGGGGAGGGATGGGGTTATTAATCAAGAGTTCCCATTAACTAGAATCGGGGGATGTGACAAGATAGTTAGGGAAATCCAGTATTGCTGTAGATTTTGCCGCCGCGATTGCTTTTGAGCTTGTTTCACCTCTGCGACCTGACTGCGCATGCAATTCGAAAGCTTCAGATAGCACAGAGTGCTGAATCAGAAGCTCTTCCTGTACGGGCATCCGTTGCTATGTGAAACCATGTATACCTTAAGCCCTATAGACCTTAAACCCTAAAACCCTAAACCCTAATCCCGGTCGAAGATTCAGAGACAATGTTCAGAGACGGGCCTGCTTCAAAGACCCGGTCTCCAGACTTGCCACTAAACCCTAGACCCCAAGCCTTGAACTTGACCTTCCTATAAACTCCGGTAACTTTTAATTTTAATGCTCAACGCCCTAGAGTCGGTTGGGACTTGCCAACAGGTCGAAACACTAATTAGTGGCTACATAGGCGCTTGCATCGGCGCCACCAATACCAGGGAGGTCGACGACATCTGGGAGGGCAGCGACCGCCATAGTACCGCCGATAATATGGCAAAGGCGCGGTGGTTGTCGTTGTCGAGGTCGGTGAGGAAGTCCCATTGCATCCAAAGATCCTTGCGAACAAAACCGACTTGCCGTACAGCCCTAAGCCTAAACCCCAACAGTCGAAATCCTAAACCCTAAACCCTAAAACCCTAAGCCCCTTCTAGTCGAAATCACCTTGCATCGAAAGATCCTTCCGACACTCTCGTACTCGGTGAAGGGTATGACTGGTATCCACTCTGCCAGGACAAGCGAAGTCGCCGATACCCTGGATTCTTGTTGGAAACGTTTTAGGGTTTAGGGTTAATAATATTTTGAGCAGCCGCAATACCATGGAAGGCACAAATATCTTATTATTCTGCAGGTCTGCCTCGCCATCTGTCTGTCTGTCTTTCTGTCAGTCGATCTGTCTAGCTCTCTATCTGTCTATCTGTGGATCTACCTGTCAATCTACCATAAGAGCACATGGCGCCTTAAAGGAAACCCTATACTATATTATATTATATGGGTCTGGGGGTGCCTTGGGGAGCCCAGGACGGGAGCCTTTAAGAACAAGCCCAATATCGCTGTGCCTTAAACGAAACCCTAAACCCTAAAACCTATACTAATGCATACTATATTATATGGGCACATGGAGCCTGAAAGGAAACCCTAAACCCTCTACTAATGCATACTATATTATATGGGCCCTAAACCCTAAACCCCAAACCCTAAACCGTCTTGGGGACGGGGGCCCCCAAGAGAAGCCAAGTATCGCTGCGCTCGCAAGACTGACGGCATTGGGGCCCTCGCTCGACTCGTTGAAGGACTGACCCTCGGCCCATGTTCCGTTGGAGGTCACCTCCAGGGTGGTCTGTTGGGGGCTTTTTTGGGCCGTTTAGGGTTTAGGGTTTAGGGCCAGGGTTTTTAGGGTGTTATAGAGCTTTAAAGGATTTTACTGGGGTAACAGGTCTTAGGGCTTTCGGGTTTTTACAGTGGAGGTTGGGGCTGTGGAGTGTCATTCCAGCGTGAAGGGCTCTAGGGCTTTGCAGCCTTAGGGTTGAGGATGGTTGCAGGATCAGAAGCCTCGAAGACGGTGACCCCAGCGCAGCCCACAGCACCGGCGCAATTCACGACGGCCTTGCCGGAGGATGAGATTCCGAAAGTAGTTGGCGGTTGCACCTTGGCTGGCCTAAGAACCCCTCCTAGCCCACATGTTGCATATCATACACAGTACTATGGGAACCTGATTAAGAAACCTTGGGTCTTTATTAGGTTTCCGTACATGAATCCTAATAGTTTGGGTTTACAGGGCCAGGGTTTCTTCATCAGGTTCCTACAGCATAGAAACCCACATATCTAAAGTCCCAACAGCTAGGCGAACCAGCTGAGGTTTCTTGAGTATTCCCAAAGCATGGAAAACCACAAAAAATGACAACAGTAGGAAAACACAAAGGGTTTAGGGTTTAGGGTTTGCACCATTAAAAGTCACGATTCCAAGTCGTTGCTGATCCGGAAGACTTCCGACCATTGACCTCCTTGCTCTTCGTAGATCACCGTCACATAGTCAACGGCCGTGCCTGCCAAGAAGGTCCAGCCCGCGATGATATAGTCTCCTTCATACAGGGTGCACATAAATAAAGCTGCTGTATAGAGGCTATATACTTTTGGGGGCTTTGTAAGTGTATAGGCTGTATAGGATCCCTGAACCCCTAAGTGGGCCCGAAATCGCACAAACGATCCCCAGTCTCCGTCCACGTCCAAACCGAGACCACCTACCGGTGGACTGGCTGGGGGGGAGATGTTTGCCACACTCGACCACGAGTTCCCGGTCCACTGGTAGACGGACAGTTGGACAACAGGGTTCCTTTCCTTAGTTGCTGAGTTCATAAGCACCAAAAAAAGTGCACACTTTCAGTTTCATAGGGGATAACCTTATCTCAAAAAGTGTAAAGTGTATCCATTCAGCTACTATGTTTCTTCCAAGGTCAAAGTCCTGCCATCGGTCGCGAATCTGAGCGCATCAAGCTGAAGCTCCGCGGTGGGCACAAGTGACCACATGGATCCTTGCAACTGGAAAGTCTGGAAAGTCCCGAAGCTCAGAAGGACCAATAGGTCTCCTCCAAGAGCCATGGTCGTACTGCGAATCCCCGGAAAGGATTGTCGTCCCAAGAAAGCCCAGGACGCCCCGTCGTACTTGAAGGTATGCGTGGTGCTTGTGTCATTCACGAGGCTCAAGGCCACGACGATCTTCTCGCTGCTCAGGGCCGTGTTTCTGGCCCAATCAAACGGCAACGCCACGTTCTGACTTGCTATTTCCGTGAGGTTCGCCTGTAACTGCCATCCTGGCGAGTCCGAGCACATGCTGCTATTGAAGACCAGGACATCACCGGGGGCCGGTCCGGCGGAAGGCGACCACGCCATAAGGCTGACGTCATCTTCGGCGCCTGTGAACACCCCTGCTCCCGAAATGCCGCCCGAGAAGTTCAGCGCCGTCACGCGCAACTGCTCCGTCCAGTCATTGCTGGAAAGGCAGTCCGGCTCCGCGGCTTCGATGTGACGTGCTGCCGAGAACTGCAACATGCAACTCGTGTCAGGAGAGTTTTGGGCACTTTGGCTCCGAACTCGCCCCAGCATGAACCAGGCGACGAAACTCCACATGGCCCTAAAGCCTTTCCACATTGGGCAAGGCCGTCAAAAGAGGGTCAAAGGGCCGGCTCGAGTGCAGAAACCGCAGAACAACCTCTAAGCCTCCATTAGGCCATACAGGGGTTTAGGGTTCGGGGTTTAGGGTGCAAGTAGCTAATAACCATCTACTCACTCTTCCAAATTAAGCTAGATTCCCACTATCCGCAACCAAAGTAAGAGATTATTGGGTCCTTTGGACCCTTAGGGAGATCCTATATTGGTGATTTGAGGCCTCGGTATATGAGTAGTATGCAGTGTACTACATACGTACATAGGGAACAGTCATGCCAAGACAACGCACAAAAGCCTTGAGTCCGTTGGGGCGTAAACCGTAAGCCCTGCCCAACAGATGAGAAGGGAGAGGGCGTCCAGCTTTTTAAGGCTTGTGGATAACAGCCTACGGTGGCATATGTACAATGGAAGAAAGCAGAAAAAGCTTCGATGTGAACAAGTCAAAAGACGCAGCTCTGAAACACCTGAAGTCATACACCTTAACCCACCAAAGCGTTGAGCGCTTGAACCCTCCCTGTAATGTAGGAACCTCGACAGCTAGACAGTTCTGCCGAAAGTGTGACATACACTTTATATCTATCTTACTACTACCCCGGATTAAAAGAGAACTGTTGATCGTCTAGGCCCTAAACCCGAAACCCCTAA